GCCCACCAAGGCCAGCCCCCTGCCCACCAAGGCCAGCCCACAGGCCAAGCCCTTTAAGGCTTCTGAATCCAGCAAGACCCCAAGCAGTGCCCAGGAAAAGAAGACAGGAGTACCTGCTAAAGCTGAGCCCGTATCGAAGCCACCTCCAGAGACAACCCTGCCTCCCGGGACTCCTAAAGTAAAGAGTGGAATAAGGAGGATTGAACGTGCCAGCCCTGCTGTCAAGGCTGTTCCAGAAGCCTCCAAGAGTGGAGAGGCAGAGGTCAGTCCCATTGACTTCCCAGGGACTCTGGCTTTCAAGATGGCACAGGCTGGGGAAGGGCTTGCCTACCTGGGGGCCTCGGGATATCGGTCACAGAGGAGGGCAGAGATGCTCGCAGAATGACAGCCAGATGAGGCATGGGCAGGCCTGGAGAACCTGAGCCAGAGACTAGTCCCCTGGCACTGTTTTGGGTACTTTGCTGGGTTCTGATACCTTTTGATCTAGGAAACTTTCTCTTTGACAATCTAGGGCTGCTTGGGGCTAGCCATAGGACCTGTAACTTATTCAAGGCCAGACAGGGAGAGGTAGGCTCTAAGCCTTTGGAGGTGGCAAAGCTTTTCCCCAGGGCCCGGGGGTTAACACAGAGACTGCAAATCAGTGTCTGCTTCTCACCCTGCTGCAGGAGCCAGTGGGCAAGCCTTACTCTCAGGACCTGTCTCGGAGCCCACAGAGCCTCAGTGACACAGGCTATTCCTCTGACGGCGTCTCCAGCTCCCAGAGTGAGATTACCGGTGTTGTGCAGCAGGAGGTGGAGCAGCTGGACAGTGCAGGGGTGACAGGGCCACGCCCACCCAGCCCCTCAGAGCTCCACAAGGTGGGGAGCAGCATGCGGCCTTTGCTGGAGGCCCAGGCCGCAGCCCCCAGTGCAGAGCGGAGCAAACCACCCGGCAGTACCACCAGTGAGGAGCAGAAGCGGCGGCCCCACTCCTTGTCCATTATGCCTGAGGCCTTCGACTCTGACGAGGAGCTGGAAGATATCCTGGAGGAGGACGAAGACTCTGTGCAGTGGGGGCGCCAGCAGGAGCAGCGGGACACAGCTGAGTCCTCAGATGACTTTGGCAGCCAGCTGAGGCACGACTATGTGGAGGACAGCAGTGAAGGCGGCCTGTCTCCACTTCCACCCCAGCCCCCACTGCGGGCAGCGGAGCTGACGGATGAGGAGTTTATGCGACGACAGATCCTAGAGATGAGCGCTGAGGAGGATAACCTGGAGGAGGATGACACTGCTGCCCCAGGGCGTGGCCTGGCCAAGCATGGCACTCAGAAGGGTGGCACCAGGCCCAGAGCCGAGCCTGGTCAAGAGCCAGCAGCACTGCCCAAGAGGCGCCTGCCCCACAATGCCACCACGGGCTACGAGGAACTGCTCTCAGAGGGAGGGCCTGCAGAACCCACCGACAGTGGCGGGGCCCTGCAGGGCGGGCTGCGCCGCTTCAAGACAATTGAGCTCAACAGTTCAGGCAGCTACAGCCATGAACTAGATCTGGGCCAAGGCCCTGACGCCAGTCTAGACCGGGAGCCCGAGCTGGAGATGGAGAGCCTGACAGGCTCACCTGAGGACCGCTCCCGTGGAGAGCAGTCCTCCACACTGCCTGCCTCCACACCCAGCTACACCTCGGGCACCTCTCCCACCTCCCTGTCCTCGCTGGAGGAGGACAGCGACAGCAGCCCGAGCCGCAGGCAGCGGCTGGAAGAAGCAAAGCAGCAACGCAAGGCCCGGCACCGCTCGCACGGGCCCCTGCTGCCCACCATTGAGGACTCCTCAGAGGAGGAGGAGTTGAGGGAGGAAGAGGAGCTGCTGCGTGAGCAGGAGAAGATGCGCGAGGTGGAGCAGCAGCGGATCCGCAGCACAGCCCGTAAGACCCGGCGTGACAAGGAGGAGCTAAGGGCCCAGCGGCGCCGTGAGCGCTCCAAGACACCACCCAGTAACCTGTCGCCCATCGAGGACGCGTCCCCCACAGAGGAGCTGAGGCAGGCCGCTGAGATGGAGGAGCTCCACCGCTCCTCGTGCTCCGAGTACTCACCTTCACCCTCGCTTGACTCAGAGGCTGAGGCCCTGGATGGTGGCCCCAGCCGGCTGTACAAGTCGGGCAGTGAGTACAACCTGCCCACCTTCATGTCCCTCTACTCCCCCACTGAGATGCCCTCGGGCAGCTCCACCACTCCCAGCTCCGGACGACCCCTCAAGAGTGCAGAGGAGGCCTATGAGGAGATGATGAGAAAAGCTGAACTGCTCCAGAGGCAGCAGAGCCAGGTGGGGGGCGCCCACGGGCCCCACAGTGGCCCCTCTCAGCCCACAGGCCCCCGAAGTCAGGGCTCCTTTGAATACCAAAAGGCCTCAGATCATGACTATGGCAGGGCAGCTCAGCCTGCCCCCGAGGGCACAGCAGCCAGCCTGGGAACAGCTGTGTATGAGGAGATCCTTCAGACATCACAGAGCATAGCCCGCATGCGGCAGGCCTCCTCCCAGGACATGGCCTTTCCTGAGGACAAGAAGCAGGAGAAGCAGTTTCTGCATGCTGACAGTGCATACATGGACCCAATGAAGCAAAATGGTGGCCCACTTACCCCTGGCACTAGTCCCACCCAGCTCGCTGCCCCTGTGTCTTTCACCACCTCCACCTCCTCAGATAGCAGTGGGGGGCGAGTTATTCCTGATGTCCGTGTCACTCAGCATTTTGCTAAGGAGCCTCAGGACCCCCTCAAGCTACACAGCAGCCCCGCCTTTCCTAGCTCAGCCTCCAAGGAGGTAGGCACATCCTTCTCCCGTGGCTCCGGGACCCCAGCCACCACAGCTGTAGCTCCTTGTCCAGCCAGCCTGCCGAGAGGATATATGACTCCAACCTCCCCAGCTGGCTCCGAGCGTACTCCTTCACCATCTTCCACAACCTATAGCTATGGACAGAGCCCAACCACTGCAAACTACGGGTCCCAAACCGAGGAGCTCCCCGAGGCCTCCAGTGGCCCTGCTGCAGGCAGCCGGGCTGCTCGAGAGAAAGCCCTGAGTGGGACTGATGGCGAAGCTGGCCCTCCTCATGCTTCCCGGGGGTATTCCTACTTCGCCGGCTCTAGCCCACCTCTCTCCCCATCTTCCCCCTCAGAGAGCCCCACATTCTCTCCAGGGAAGCTGGGCCCAAGAGCCACAGCAGAGTTCTCTACACAGACGCCAAGCCCAACCCCTTCCTTAGAAATGCCTCGGAGCCCTGGTACCCCTACCTCTACCTCTATGGTAGCCCAGGGCACACAGACACCACACAGACCCAGCACACCTCGCCTGGTGTGGCAGCAGACTTCTGAGGAGGCTCCTTTTATGGTCATCACACTGGCATCAGAAGCCTCCAGCCAGACCAGGATGGTACATGCCAGTGCCTCCACCTCCCCACTGTGCTCACCTACTGACAGCCTGCCCACCACCCACGGCTATAGCCAGACAACGCCTCCAAGTGTGTCTCAGCTGCCCCCAGAGCCACCTGGCTTCCCACGGGCTCCAAGTGCTGGTGTAGAAGGCCCCCTGGCACTGTATAGCTGGGGCACCCTCCCTGCCGAAAACATTTCCCTGTGTCGGATCTCCTCTGTCCCTGGAACGTCTAGAGTTGAGCCAGGGCCCAGGCCCCCTGGCAGTGCAGTGGTAGACCTCCGCACAGCTGTCAAGCCCACACCTATCATCCTTACCGACCAGGGAATGGATCTGACCTCTCTGGCCGTGGAAGCAAGGAAGTATGGCCTTGCCCTAGATCCCATCCCAGGACGGCAGTCAACTGCCGTGCAGCCTTTGGTTATCAACCTCAATGCCCAGGAGCAGACCCATGCCTTCCTGGGCACTGCCACTACTGTAAGCATTACCATGGCGTCCACTGTGCTCATGGCTCAGCAGAAGCAGCCTATGGTGTACGGAGACCCCTTCCAGAGCCGACTGGACTTTGGCCAGGGTTCAGGTAGTCCTGTGTGCCTAGCCCAGGTCAAGCAAGTAGAACAGGCTGTCCAGACAGCCCCATATAGAGGTGGATCCCGGGGAAGGCCCAGGGAGGCCAAGTTTGCCAGGTATAATCTGCCCAACCAAGTAGCACCTCTGGCCAGAAGGGATGTGCTAATCACTCAGATGGGAACCACCCAGAGTGTTAGCCTGAAGTCGGGTCCAGTGTCAGAGCCTAGTGCCGATCCCCACCGGGCCATTCCTGCAGAGCTGCGGTCACATGCTCTGCCAGGTGCCAGGAAGCCACATGCTGTGGTGGTGCAGATGGGTGAAGGCACAGCAGGCGCTGTGACCACACTGCTCCCAGAGGAGCCAGCAAACGCCCTGGATCTCACTGGGATGAGGCCTGAGAGCCAGCTGGCATGCTGTGACATGGTCTATAAGTTCCCCTTTGGCAGTAGCTGCACTGGTACCTTTCATCCTGCGCCCAGTGCACCTGAGAAGAGCGTGGCAGATACTGCCCTGCCTGGCCAAAGCAGTGGCCCCTTCTACAGTTCTCGGGACCCTGAGCCCTCTGAGCCCCCCACCTACCGAGCACAAGGGGTACTGGGCCCTGGACCCCATGAAGAGCAGAGACCCTACCCACAAGGCCTCCCTGGCAGGCTGTACTCCTCCATGTCTGACACCAATTTGGCTGAGGCTGGCCTCAACTACCATGCCCACAGGCTTGGGCAGCTCTTTCAGGGCCCTGGACGAGACTCAGCCATGGACCTCAGTTCCCTGAAACATTCCTACAGCTTGGGCTTTGCAGATGGGCGCTACCTAGGTCAGGGCTTGCAGTACGGCTCATTCACAGACCTGCGCCATCCCACAGACCTTTTGACTCATCCACTTCCCATGCGGCGCTACAGCTCAGTGTCGAACATCTACTCAGACCCAAGGTATGGGCCACGGGGAGATGCAGGCAGCCTCCAGGAAGCCAGCCTTGCCCAATACAGTGCCACCACAGCCCGTGAGATCAGTCGCATGTGTGCTGCGCTCAATTCCATGGACCAGTATGGTGGACGGCATGGCAGCGGTGGCACTGGCCCTGACCTTGCGCAGTACCAGCCCCAGCATGGGCCTGGGCTCAGTGCTCCACAGGGTCTGGCTCCCCTCAGACCTGGGCTCCTTGGTAACCCCACTTTCCCAGAGGGCCACCCAAGCCCAAGGAACCTGGCCCAGTATGGCCCTGCAGCAGGCCAAGGAACAGCAGTTAGGCAGCTGCTGCCATCCACAGCCACTGTGCGTGCAGCTGATGGTATGATCTACTCAACTATCAACACTCCAATCGCTGCAACCCTGCCCATCACCACCCAGCCCGCCTCAGTGCTGCGGCCCATGGTACGTGGAGGCATGTACAGACCTTACATGTCTGGTGGAGCCACAGCTGTGCCACTCACCAGCCTTACACGAGTACCCATGATTGCCCCCCGGGTACCTCTTGGGCCAGCAGGGCTGTACCGCTATCCTGCACCAAACAGATTCCCCATTTCTTCAAGCGTGCCGCCTGTCGAGGGACCAGTTTATCTGGGGAAACCTGCTGCCAAGGCCCCAGGGGTGGGGGGCACCCCCAGGCCAGAGCTGCCATCAGGGGCTGCCCGAGAAGAACCTCATTCCACAGCTGCCCCTGCTGCTGTCAAGGAGTCTGTGGCAGCTCCGACCCCTGCCCCACCACCTGGCCAGAAGCCACCAGGAGATGGTGCTGCTGCTGGAGGTGGCAGTGTGGCCCTTGCCCGGCCTGGCTTTGAGAAGGAGGAAGCATCTCAGGAAGAGCGGCAGCGGAAGCAACAGGAGCAGCTGCTACAGCTGGAGAGAGAGAGGGTAGAGCTGGAGAAGCTTCGACAGCTGCGGCTGCAAGAGGAGCTAGAGCGGGAGAGGGTGGAGCTGCAGAGGCACCGTGAGGAAGAGCAGTTGCTGGTGCAGCGGGAATTGCAGGAGCTGCAGACCATCAAGCATCATGTGCTACAGCAGCAGCAGGAGGAGCGCCAGGCTCAGTTTGCTCTGCAGCGGGAGCAGCTGGCACAGCAGCGCCTACAGCTGGAGCAGATCCAGCAGCTACAGCAGCAGCTGCAGCAGCAGCTAGAGGAGCAGAAGCAGCGGCAGAAAGCCCCCTTTCCTGCGACCTGTGAGGCCGCCGGCCGAGGGCCCCCCCCAGCTGCCCCTGAGCTGGCCCAGAATGGCCAGTACTGGCCACCACTGACCCACACTGCTTTCCTTGCTGTGGCAGGGCCTGAGGGGACTGGGCAGTCCCGGGAGCCCATGCTGCACCGGAGCCTCCCTAGCTCTGCCTCAGACCTGTCACTGCAGACTGAGGAGCCGTGGGAGGCAGGCCGCAGTGGCATCAAGAAGCGGCACTCCATGCCCCGCCTGAGGGATGCTTGTGAGCCAGAGTCAGCACCCGAGCCCTACGTGGTCAGGAGAATTGCAGACAGCAGTGTGCAGACAGATGATGAGGACGGCGAGGGCCGGTATCTCCTGACTCGACGGCGCAGGACCCGGCGGAGCACCGACTGCAGCGTGCAGACGGATGACGAGGACAATGCCGAGTGGGAGCAGCCAGTGCGCCGCCGCAGGTCTCGTCTTTCCCGGCACTCTGACTCAGGCTCCGACAGCAAGCACGATGCCACTGCCGCCTCATCCACTGCCGCCGCCACAGCTCGGGCCACGAGCAGCGTGGGCATCCAGACCATCAGCGACTGCTCCGTGCAGACGGAGCCCGACCAGCTGCCCAGGGTCTCTCCAGCCATCCACATCACAGCTGCCACTGACCCCAAGGTGGAAATCGTCAGGTACATCTCGGCACCAGAGAAGACTGGGCACGGGGAGAGCCTGGCCTGCCAGACGGAGCCCGACGGGCAGGCCCAGGGTGTGGCTGCGCCACAGCTTGTAGGTCCAACTGCCATCAGCCCCTACCTGCCTGGCATTCAGATTGTCACCCCAGGGCCCCTGGGCAGATTTGAAAAAAAGAAGCCAGATCCTCTGGAGATTGGGTACCAGGCCCACCTGCCCCTGGAGTCACTGTCCCAGCTTGTGAGTCGCCAGCCTCCCAAGTCCCCCCAGGTCCTCTACTCACCAGTCTCACCCCTGTCCCCACATCGGCTCCTGGACACCACCTTTGCTTCCAGTGAGAGGCTGAACAAGGCTCATGTGAGTCCCCAGAAGCACTTCACAACTGACAGCGCGCTCCGCCAGCAGACGCTGCCTCGGCCCATGAAGACCCTGCAGCGGTCCTTGTCTGATCCTAAGCCCCTCAGCCCCACCGCCGAGGAGTCTGCCAAAGAGAGATTCTCCCTCTACCAGCACCAGGGGGGACTGGGTAGCCAGGTATGGGCACAGGGTCTGGTGCAGGGTGGGACAGGGGTCTCGGCCTAGCCTGAGGGCCCCCAGAGGGAGGGGTTTCTCCTGGGGTGGGAACGGAATTACCCCTGGTTCCAGAGGCCCAGGAGGAGGAGTGGAGCAGTAGACCTCCTCGATGCACGTCTGACAGAGCCCACTGCCTGGGCAAAGACACGCATACATGGGCCCCCATTGTCTGTCTGGACACCTCACGAGAACCCCTTCTCCCAGCCCACCCTCTCACTGTCAGTAGTCCGGCCCCGTTGCCTGTCCCTTAGTTCCCACCTCCCATCTGGGCACCGTTCACTCCAGACCTTGTTCGTTTGTGGGTGTTTATTTCCTGGGAAGTGAGGACCATGGCTCTGACAGGGCTACTTCCCACTCACCAGCCCCAGCCGTGCTCTCATTGCCCCACAGCAAAGCCTAGCCCCTACCCTATAACCAGAGGCCCATCCCAGAGGGCTACAGTGCGTTGTCTGCCTCACTGTGCTCCCTGCCCCCAGCAACTCTGCTCACACACGTATCTGCTCCCCTAGGTAGAGGCTCCTTGTGTGTGGCCAGTGACATGCTGGACTGTGAGAGGTGGCCGGGCCGCAGGCTGTGGGGATAGGGAGGAAGGGGTTGTGAGGGCCTAATGCCAAGGACTTTGAGTTCCTGGCTTTTCCCAGAGGCCCTGGAGCCTTCTGGAAGTTTTAGGCAGGTAAGATGGGATGAGATGGGTGTCTTAGAGCTTTTGGGACACAATGTGGGCTAGTGGGCTGAAGGAAGAGGCCCTAGGGAGAGAAGACAGGAGCCAAAGGCACTGAGAGAGATATTTCCCCACTTCCTGGGTTTGATGAAGAGAAGAAAACAGCAGAACCCAAGCTGAGGCTTGTGGAGAGGACTGTTGTGGAGGCAGGGAGTGAAGGGCCTCGGGTGCGTAAACAGTGGGGCGGCATCAGGAGTCGGGACTGGCAGAGTGGCGGGCACCCATGTCCCATGCCGCTCATGTGAGTCCAGGCTGTGCTGGGCCCCCATGGTGTGTGGCCAAAGTAAGAAAAGACAGACGACGGAATGAGTTGCTTAAAAAGCTGACTTTATTCTGCTGAAGGCCCACATTTGTTCTGGGACGTGGGAGCACACTATCAGCTTGTGACATATGATGAAAGTTACTTGGTGAGGTCAAACAAGAATCTTGGTGTCATCCAATCTGGGTGGTCCAAATTGAGGGAACGGGAGCTGGCAGGTAATGGGAGGAGCTGTCCAGCAGTGTGGGCGTTCAGGCAGCAGCTGTGCCAGGTGACGATGCGGTAGAGGGCACCACTAGGGAACCTTGAGCAGGAAACCATGCTGCTGGAGAGAGGTCTGCTGGTGGTTCCAGAGAACAGTCGGCTGGCGGAGGGGTGCCAAGAGGGCTTGGCAGAGGTTAGTCCAGGGCCACTGGAGGAGTAGGGTGGGCAGGTAGCTGAACAGCAAGCCGCTCTAGAGAGGAGTGGGGCAGGGAGCAGAAAGGGACTCGGCCTGCAGCACCAGCGTGGCCCCTTTCCCATGATCCTCTGAGGATCTGGTGGGCCCAGGAACCACTCCATGGCCCTCCTCCTATCCACGCCTTCCACTGCCACCAGCTCCCGTGGGCTGCTAGGCCCCAAACCCAGAGCCAGACGTGTGTTTTCCTCACCTCCATGAGAGGCGAGGCCACCGGAGAAGTGTATGGAAACCAGGGCAAGAGGCAATAGCCCCCTCCCACGTGGCCACTGCCCAGAGCGACTACAAGCCAAAACTGGTGGGTGGGCAGGGTCCGACCTTGAGGCTGCCTGGTAAACCAGGGAACCAACAGTGCAGAGTCCAGTTCCTGGGTTCTTTTATCCCATGTCCTGCCCAGTCGCCCACGCCTTGGGTCTCAGTGCTGCCCACCCTTCCCTCTGTCTCAGGTGTCGGCGCTGCCACCCAACGGCCTAGCCCGCAAGGTGAAGCGGACACTGCCCAGCCCCCCTCCAGAGGAGGCCCACCTTCCCCTGGCTGGCCAGGCCCCCCCACAGCTGTACGCAGCCAGCCTGCTGCAGCGAGGGCTGGTGGGGCCCACCACCGTCCCTGCCACCAAGGCCAGCCTGCTTCAGGAGCTGGACCGGGACCTGCGCCTGGTGGAGCATGAGTCCACCAAGCTGCGCAAGAAACAGGCGGAGCTGGACGAGGAGGAAAAGGAAATTGATGCCAAGCTCAAGTATCTAGAGCTGGGCATCACACAGCGCAAAGAGTCTCTGGCCAAAGACCGGGGTGGGCGAGAGTGCTCACCCTTGCGCAGTCTTGGTGCACATCGAGATTACCTGTCGGACAGCGAACTCAACCAGCTGCGGCTGCAGGGCAGCACCACCCCCGCTGGCCAGTATTCAGGCTTCCCGGCCACAGCCGCTGCACCGGCCACCCCCTCTGCCCCCACTGCCTTCCAGCAGCCCCGATTCTCTCCTCCAGCCCCACAGTACCCTGCGGGCAGCATCGGGCCAGCTCAGAATGAACTCCCAGCCCCCCAGGTACCCACCTACCCTGGCCCCAGCACGTACCCAGCACCTGCCTTTCCTTCCAGCACCACTTACCCAGCCGAGCCTGGCCTGCCAAACCAGCAGGCTTTCTGCCCCTCAGGCCACTATGCAGCCCAAACACCCATGCCGACCACACAGAGCACCCTTTTGCCTATCCCAGCTGACAGCCGTGCACCTCACCAGAAGCCACGCCAAACATCGTTAGCTGACTTGGAGCAGAAAGTACCCACCAACTATGAGGTGGTTGCCAGCCCTGTTGTGGCCATGTCTTCAGCCCCCTCTGAAACCAGCTACAGCGGACCAGCAGTGAGCAGCAGCTATGAGCAGGGCAAGACCCCCGAACTGCCCCGGGCCAGTGACCGAGGCAGTGTGAGCCAGAGCCCGGTCCCCGCCTACCCCTCTGACTCACATTACACCAGTCTGGAGCAGAGTGTTCCTCGGAACTATGTGATGATCGACGACATCAGTGAGCTGACCAAGGACAGCACTGTTGCTGACAGCCAGCGGATGGAGCCTTTGGGCCCAGGCAGCGGTGGGCGTCCTGGGAAGGAGCCTGGAGAACCAGGTGTCCTTGAGGGGCCCGCGCTGCCCTGCTGCTATGCCAGAGGAGAGGAGGAATCTGAGGAGGACTCGTATGATTCCCGTGGGAAGGCTGGCCATCACCACCGGGGTGTGGAGAGCAACGGACGACCCGCTAGCACCCACTACTACAGTGACAGCGACTATAGGCACGGGGCTCGAGGGGAGAGGTATGGCCCGGGGCCCGTGGGGCCCAAGCATCCCTCCAAGAGCTTGGCCCCAGCTGCCGTCTCCTCAAAACGAAGCAAACACCGGAAGCAGGGGATGGAGCAAAAAATCTCCAAGTTCTCACCTATTGAAGAGGCCAAGGATGTGGAGTCGGACCTGGCCTCTTACCCGCCACCTGCTGTGAGTAGCAGCCTGGCCTCTCGGGGCAGGAAGTTCCAGGATGAAATCACCTACGGGCTCAAGAAGAACGTGTATGAGCAGCAGAGATACTATGGGGTGTCCAGCCGGGATGCAGCAGAGGAAGACGACCGCATATATGGGGGGAGCAGCCGGTCCCGGGTGGCATCTGCATACAGTGGGGAAAAGCTGTCCAGCCACGATTTCAGTGGCCGAGGCAAGGGTTATGAAAGGGAGGCTGTAGAGCGACTTCAGAAAGCAGGCTCCAAGCCCTCATCCCTGAGCATGGCCCATGGCCGGGTACGGCCACCCATGCGGAGCCAGGCCTCTGAGGAGGAGAGCCCCGTCAGCCCCATGGGGCGGCCTCGGCCTGCTGGGGGCACACTGCCTCCTGGGGATACCTGCCCACAGTTCTGCTCCAGCCACTCCATGCCTGATGTCCAGGAGCATGTCAAGGATGGACCTCGAGCCCACTTGTATAAGCGTGAGGAGGGCTACGTCCTGGATGATTCCCACTGCGTGGTTTCTGACAGTGAAGGTAATGGCAGCTGGGGGTGATTTCTGCAGATGCTCTGCCCCTCAGGGGCTGCCTGCCTGTGGGCCCCAGGCCCCAAATGTCCCAGCAGGTTCGGCCTGACGTCTCATCCAGTGGGCCCTGCTGCGGGCTGTCCTTACTTGTTTCACTTGTGCCCTGCTAGCTGATTACGGGAGGGTGGGCTGGGACCTAGTGATCTGCTTGCGGCTGTGGTGCCCACTCTCGTCTCCTTGCATGGCTTCAGCTAGGCCTGCCCCGAGGCCAGCCCAGGGGTTGATGGTGTTCTGTTTTTGGTCCCTGAAGCGTATCACCTGGGCCAGGAGGAGACGGACTGGTTTGATAAGCCCCGGGATGCACGTTCTGACCGGTTCAGACACCATGGGGGCCACGCAGTCTCCTCCTCCCAGAAGCGAGGCCCTGCCAGGCACAGCTACCACGACTACGATGAACCCCCAGAGGAGGGTCTGTGGCCTCATGATGAGGTTGGTCCAGGCCGCCATGCCCCAGCCAAGGAACACCGGCACCACAGTGAGCATGGGCGGCATGCGGGCCGCCATGCTGGCGAGGAGCCGGGAAGGCGCGCTGCCAAATCACATGTTCGGGACCCAGGTCGCCATGAGGCCCGGCCCCACCCTCAGCCGAGCTCTGCCTCAGCCATGCTGAAGAAGGGTCAGCCTGGGTACCCAGGCCCTACTGATTACTCCCAGCCATCTCGTGCTCCAGCAGCATACCACCACACCTCTGACAGCAAGAAGGGCTCCCGGCAGGCCCACTCTGGGCCTGCCGCACTGCAGCCAAAGCCAGAACCCCAGGCACTGCCACAGTTGCAAGGTCGGCAGGCAGCTCCAGGGCCACAGCAGTCACAGCCACCACCATCCAGGCAGATGGCCTCAGGGGCAGCACTGCGCCAGCCACAGATGCAGCAGCAGCAGCAGCAGCAGCAGCAGCAGCAGCCAGGTCTCGGGCAGCAGCCTCCCCAGCAGGCCCCATCGCAGGCCCGGCCACAGCAGCAGAGCCAGCCAACTGCCCGGGGCCCAGCCTCTGCTGCCAGCCAGCCAGCAGGGAAGCCCCAGGCAGGCTCCACGACAGCCACAGGCCCTCAGCCAGCAGGACCGGTGAGTAGGGTCTCAGCTGGGGCAGATGCTATAGCTGAAGCTTAGACATCCCTTTGGATCCAGGCTGGGTGTAGGCAGGGTTGGAGGGCAAGATCTCAGCTCTAGGTTCTGTGTTGCAGCCACGGGCAGAACAGGCAGATGGCTCTAAAGTGACGACCAAAACACCCCAGCAGGGGAGGGCTCCCCAGGCCCAACCAACACCAGGACCTGGACCTGCAGGTAAGCCTACCCTTTGGTTCCCTCAGCTATGCCCTGGATTGTTTTCTCCCTGTAACCCCTACTGCACACCCCCTTATCCCCAGAAGATACCTAGTAGGCTGCCGACCTCCCAGTAAAAAATGACCCTGGGGTTAGAATGGGTCAGTGGGGTCACTGGCGCTGGGGCCTTAGAGCCCACGCCACTGAGGGCAGAGAACAGGAGGTACTCCTGAGCACAAGGACGATTCCTTCCTCTTCTGTCCTCCCCTCTGCCGTCTTGTCCACTTCTGCCTTTCCCTCCCTTTCTTCTGTACCTCCCTCAGACTCTTTTCTGCCACCTTCCATCCCTTCTCTTCCTTCTTCCTGTTCGTATCTTCCTGCCTCTACTCCTCTAGCCTCCCCTCACCCTCCTGCCTCACAGGGTACCTGTGTTCCTGTCCCTCACGGCTCCTTTCCGGCTCGGGCCCTGAACAGCCAGGCCAAGGCACATTCATGGTGGTGGCTTCTGTTTCCATAGGCACAAAGGCTGGAGCCAGGCCTGGAGGGCCCCCGGGGGCTGCTCCTGGCCAGCCAGGTGCCGACGGGGAGAGTGTGCTCTCCAAGATCCTCCCTGGCGGGGCAGCAGAGCAAGCCGGCAAGCTGACAGAAGGTATGCACTGCCTGTGGCTAGGTCTGTGGTGGGCAGCACTCTGGGGCTCTATACTGGGGGAGGCTGGGTTTGGGGATGGTTCCAGGCCCAGTGGTCTAGACACAGGTCAGCAAGAGGGCCTACCTACTCCTGCCCAGTGGTCTTCTGGGCAGTCATTGCCCCTTGGGTCAAGCCTGTCTCACTGTGCTAAATGGCCTAATTTCCTGATCCTCTCTCTCCTCTTTCTGTGTCATAGCTGTCTCTGCTTTTGGCAAAAAATTCTCCTCGTTCTGGTGACCTTGCCCAGCAGGGTGAGTATGAATGACCTATACCCAACCTATCCTGAAGAAGGCCTGAGTCATTGGCAGGGGAGAGGGTGTGCTTCCAGTCTTCTGTGGGTAGTGTGAGTGGAGCTGCAGTGTGCTCTCCTGGAGTGTGTGGGGTGTTCACAGGGCCCCTGACGTAGGGCCAAATGAGCAGAGCTCCCCAGCAAAGAGAAGCCAGGGCCAGTCTCCTCTTGTCTTCCTCACCAGCCCCTGTCTGGCTGCAGAGTTCCAGCTATAGGTTGGTATGAGACCCTGATACAGCTTCTTTCCAACCCTCCTCTGAAAATGCCCCACAGATTCTTGAAGACACGAAGACAGATGATGTCATTGCTGTGGAAAAATCTCTGGAGTCAAAGGCCTGGGCGCAGCTCTGGACTCTGCGTATAACAGTGAGTCTCAGGACCAGAGTAGGATGGGCCACAGGAGGGCATGAAGGGCTGCAGTCACCCAGTCTCTACACGTGTGAACTATGTAGAACCCGGGGAATGGGCCCAGCAGTCTCCTGGCAGACAGAGGCCTATGTGTGGGCTGATAAGTCAGGTGGTTCCTTGGAGAAGGGTCTGGTGATGCCAAATGCATCCCAATACTTGAGGTCTATATTTTGGGCACTGAATCCAAAGTCATCCTTGAGGGAAGGATAGCCCGTGGTTCCTGAGGGGTACACATCCCCTGGCTAGAGTGTGCTAGAGTCCCCCAGCCCTCCAGAGCTTAGCAGCTTTGGGCATGAAGTCAGGACACTGTTGGCCTCACAGGCTGAACTTGTGGTCCACAGGATAGAAGAGCAGAATGAATATGGAGGCAGACAGGAGGGGGCATAGAGGCAAGAGGAGGCCCAGGGCCAAGCAGTGTCAGCCCCAGATGAGGTCAGAGTAGAAGGGCCTCAGGATGGGCGCTCTGGGCCAGGAATATAGCTCAGTGGCACAAGCGCCTGCCTGGCAAGCGTAAGGTCCTGAGTTTGATTCCCCGGTACCAAGAAAAAAGGATTAAAAAAAAAATGTTAACTTCTTCCAGGATGGGTGCTCTGGGTCTGTCTGGATGCCATGGCAATACAAGACAGGGTGCTGGCTCCTGGAATGTGCCCTGGCCTTGCCCTGAGCCATGCCGCTGCAAGGGGCCGAGCAGGTGCACCATCCAGCATTGGGGGAATGTGGTCCGGCTGCTGGTGCTGTTCTGTGCATGGCCAGACCGCCTCCCACTATTCTATAGCCCCGAGCCCCTCCCTCTCCTTTGGCACCCCAGGCTGACAATGTGGAGGCTTGTGTACAGTGTCCATGGCAGGGGCTGGCACTCAGCCAGCAGGTCATTTCAAGGAAGCCCAGCCAGTGCCCTAGCTTAGGCTGCACTTCTTGTGCCAGAGAAGGAACGGAGTATGACAGCCAAAGCTGCCTGTCTCTGGAGGAGCAGCAGGTAGGGCCAAAAGGCTGTCTTCCATCCATGCGGTCAACACGTGTTTGTCAAGCCCAAGTATGTGCCAGGCTGTTTCTGTCACTGGGAATACATCAGAAAACAAAACCAAGATCCTGCCCTCTGAAACTAGCAATCCTTGAAGGGAGATGCAGAATAAATAAGTTTACAAAAAAAAATTAAATTTCAAGGTAATTTGTGAAGGTAGTAAGTGCTATAAAGGCAGTGAGGCAGGGTGATCAGAGTAGTGGGATCTGCTCTAGAAAAAGTGGTCAGAGCCGAAGTTGTGTGGGATAAGGCCTGGAGGTAGAGAAAAAGCTCCCCAGGTCTGCCCAGGTGCAGGAATAGTGCTGGTGGAGGTTCTGGGGCAGAATGAGCTGGGCAGGCTTCTGGGACAGGCAGATCAGCACAGCAAGAGCTATAACAGAGGGGAGGCAGTCGGGGGTAAAGCCCAGGGGTGGGGGGCTAGCTGGTGTGGGCTTTATAGGCCAAAGGAAAGCGCCCAGAACTTAATCTAATTATAGTAGCCACAGTGCAGCCCCAGCATCCCGCTGCCCTGGCTGCGCTGTAGCATCCTTGCTGCCTTCCTGCTCAGCAGGATGTTTCCTTGGAGTTTCCTTGGAACAGACATGGAGTCAGGGAAGGAGGGACAACCCATGGCCCGGCTTGGCAGCACCCATCTCCGACTGGGCCAAGGCAGCACAGATAAGACTTTGTTCTGTATTCTGTCACACAGCGCAGGGCCGCTGAGACCATGGGCTTTGTAGTTTAAAGAGCCTCCATCAATTCTAGCATTTAGCTAATGTCAAAGTTGTGTGGGTCCATCTCCTAGGGGTTTGATGTCAGTTTCAGAGATGGGTTGGGAGAGGCTCACCATTTGAAACAAAATCCTGTTTCCTCTCTATTAAAGCAAAAGTAACGGGAACTTTTAGCCAGATGTGGTGGCACATGCCTATAATCCCAGCACTTGGGAGGGTGAGGCAGGGGGTCTGATCTAGCTGAAGAGATCTAGAGAATTCAAGACTAGCCTGGGCTACATAGCAAGACCCTGTCTCAAAAAAAAGAGGAACTTTTACAACATTAAAAGAAATGTTGAGCCAGGCACAGTGGAGCGGGCCTGTAGTCTTGGCTGCTCAAGAGGCTGAGGTGATGGCATCTTTCCGGCCAGGAGTTTAGGACCAGCCCAGCATCACAGTAGGACCCTGTCTCAAAGAAGAAAAATACAAAGGCTAATCAAAAATACACTGTATGTTCAAATTTAAAAAAAAAAAATATTACAGTAAAAGACCCAATGCTAAAAAAAAAAAAAAAAAGACTCAATGTTGCCAGGCATGGTGGCTCATGCCTATAATCCCAGCACTCAAGAGGCTGAGGCAGGAGGATTACCGTGAATTTAAAACCAGCCTGCACTACATAATGAGACCTTGTCTCAAAAAAACCCCCCAAAACCCATTGTCATTAATGCTCCTCAGAGTGCTTCCCCGCTCTTCAAACACACTTATCCCACCATTATTGCCACTTTGGTTTTTTCTTTTTGTTTTTTGTGGGGTTTTTTTGTACCAGGAATCGAACTCAGGACCTTGCACTTGCAAGGCAGGTGCTTGTGCCGCTGGGCTCTATCACCGGCCCTATTGCCGCTTTCTGAAGCAGCTCTGGAAGTTCTCTTTTGTATCTTTACAAGGCGTGATCAAAAATATGGTGGGAGCTGCTCTCTGAATGCCGTTCAGCAGCAAGGCATGCCCATAGAAACATTAAGGTGTACGTCCTCATTCACCTTACCCACGAGACCTGGCTCTGTTTGACTTCTGGCTCTTCCCCAAAGTCAAAATGACCATGAAGGGTGAAATGCTTTGAATTAGCTCAGGACATCGAGGCAGGCACGACAGCACAAGTCATTCATGCAAGAGGACACCCAGAACTGCTTCAGAGAATGGCAATACAAATGAGATAAATGCATGTGAAGCATGTGGGGGGAGGTATTCTGAGGGGAATTGATGGCAATATGTCTTTTACTGTAATACTTTTTATAATTTAAACATTCACTCTATTTTATGGTCGCACCTTGTATGTCCCTTCCTGGCAGACTGAATTCTCTTCTCTTCTCCTCTCTGTGACCAGCAAGCTGACCAAATGCCCACTACCCAACACCTCAGTAGTGCCAGGCTCTTGGCGCGTGTCCCGTGTCCGAGAGGAGTGTGAGGGTGGGAAGCAGCTGCTCACAGGTCTTGACCAAACCTTTCTTTCTTTTCTTTGTCTCTCCCTCCATTTTCCCCTCTCCCTCCTTTTCTCTCTCAAGCATCTACAATCTGGCAAACCCTGGGCCCAAAGACTCACAGCAAGTGTGCTGTGGCAGGCAGGACTCAGTTGAGGACAGGATGTCTCCTAACGGCCGCTGCCTGGGTGGAGCATGTGCTGGAGAAGTTGGGACCATTGGCCTGGGGGGTCTTTGTCTGTCCAGACACTGTCTTCCTCAGCCAACTGTCATGGGGAGGGCCGCGCTCTCTCCAGAGCCACTGCAGCTGTCTGTCGCTCTCCCTACAGCCCACCAGGCCTCCAGTGCGTTATACACAGAGTTTGGGAGCTCACTGCCCTCCTTCCAAGATGCCAGAAGTTTTTCCACAGCCTTGGAGAGGGGCTTTGACTGGGCGCCTTGCGTTCCGTTTCCTTCACATTCCAGCTGGCTCGGATCCTTCCGTACCCGCAGGGCCCTGCTCCTTCACCCTGCCCTAGGGTGACAGTGGAGCAGACCTCCAGTGGCCAGCACAGGGTTGGGAGAACTTTACAAACACTAGGACCTAACACTGTCTCATTGCTGAAATAAGAGGCCATAGCACCGAGAAGCAGCAGGGGCGCCGGCGGAGGCTTCTCCCAGCCCAAGGGTGGCAGTGTGCTACGCGCCTGCCAGCCTCTTAAAGCCATCCCCCAGCCGTCTCGAGCTCCCCAGCGACACCGCCATCGTCTCGACCAGCCAGCTCCTCATCCGTATCCCTGGGGATTTCTTTTCATTTCAAGAACAGCCTTAATCATTCCGGTTTGATTTATGTGTATACCTCATAAACATCTTTCTTTCTCTCTCTTTCCCTTTCTCTTTTTTCTTTGCTCAACCCCTTTGCCTCTCCCCTCCACCACCACCTGTGACCGATGGTTTGGTTTCCTCTCTGCTCTGCCCCTGCTCAGCACATGGAGAATGTTGACTAAGAAGCAATAGGGGGCAACAGGCCACCAAGAGCACAACCCCAGGGCGAGGCCTAGGGAGGCCCCTCAGCCCGCCTCTGTTTACTGTGCAATTCCAGTCCTTCTTAAGCCATCACCAGTGGGTGTGCTCAGAGCAGAGGGGCCAGGGCTTCTGCCAGCTGGGGGAAAGGCCCAGCGCCCTGTGGGGGGCAGTGTGACACCATCTGTCTACCTGGTGGACGGGGCGGCATTCCTCCCCACAGCCCTTCTCTGAGGGGCCTCCCTTCATCTTGGGCACACCCACAAGTCTCATCTTTAACTTTCTATGCAATGAAATATAAACCCTCAAAGACAACTGTTAATATTTAATAAATTCCATGTTATGTATAAGGAGTTAATTGCAAACATGTGACTGAGAAACTGGATAGATATGCTCATATCACCGCCCCAGCCCTGCTCCTGTGTGTGTGCGCGTGTGACATCTGTCTGTGGCATGTTTGACCTGTGGCAGGACTCGCTGCTGCCGGGCGAGTCACCGCCTGTCCCGCAGTGGAGCATGCACGGCTCACAGCCTCTCTGCACGATTTCATCCATTTTAAATGCTCAACCCTTTTGCTCGGAGTTCTTTTGCCTCTGCACCTCTCCTTCAGGAACACCTTTAGTGACTTCTGCGCAAGCTGGTGAGGACCTGCCAGAATTGTTGCCTGAGTGCGCCAGGCTGCAGGGCGGGCGAGACAAAGTCCTACGTACCCTGCAGTTTCCTTCGTTCAGGATAGCAAGTGAGACAGGACACCCTGGAGTAGACACAATGGTAGGCGCCCGTGCAGGGTGCATGTGTGTGAAAGCTGTGAAGGTTTGCCGTATGATTTATGTCTGTACTCATTTCCCCTCCTCCTCCAGCCCTCAACCAGAGCCTCGGGTACCCTTCCCAGTGGGGTACTGCTTAGAGACAGAGCCAAGCTGCATTCCTGAAAGAGAGGCAGAGGCCAAGGGTGGAGTCAGGCTATGCCCTAGGGACCCCAGACCCTGGCCAAACCTACTCCATCCCTCTCCTTTGTGGTCAAGAGGCTCAAAGACTCTGTCAAGAGATCTGGGCTGGAACCAGGGGATGAAAAGCCTTTTGGGAAGAGCTGGGCTTTTGGCACTTCTCTTTGACTGACAGTAGCATCTGGAGCAGCTGAACTGTTCACATAAACAGTGGCTTTAAGCTGAGCTTCTTGTGAAGCTTCTTGGTAGCAAGAATGTACCAAGGTTCTGTGTGGCCCTTTTGTCATCTATCCCTGGGACTTCCTTCTCTACTTGAGTACCCAGTCACCAGCTTCTCCACTGCTGGGCCAGGAGTGGGGCAGGCAGTAGCTGCCAGTCCCTCAAGACCAGACCTTCCTCCAGAGTGCTCTGGTTTGCACCGTGCATTTCTCAGGGGCCCACATTTCTCACGCTTTTCTCTAAGGATTATACACCCCTTAAGAAAGGGGTCCTGGCCCACCTCAGGCAGCTGTAGATAAGACAGAAAGCTGCCAACCTCCACGCTGGACCTGGCCACCTGGGATTTGGCCTCCCCTGTTCCATGAGACAGCTGCCTCGTCTCCAAAGATCAGGCCTGGGCCCTATGAGGCCTTCTGAGCAAGGGAGGCTATCATCTAGTTCCTCTGGCCACCCAAGGTCTGTGTAGGATGCCCTAGCTGGGTATTTGCAGAGCAAGGCAGTAACCCTTTCCACTGATGGCCAGGGGATGGCCCTGGGAGCAGAATGTAGGCAGGGAGATGCCAATAGTTCAGCCTCTAGCAGGCTCCATCTCCGGCTTTCAAGTATTGGCTTTTCCGCAGATTTCCTTTCTGGCCAAACCCTCTGAGTTTAAGACGCCTGACATCTGCCACTTCCCATCCCCGACTGAACCCACAGGACAAATCATTGCCCCTCTGTGAAGACTGCGAAGGCCTCTGGATTGTGGCAGTCCTGGCCCCTATGTGGCTGTAGCTGTGACTCCAGGGGCCACGCAGCCAGAGGCTGGGGGATTAGGATTCGGTGCTTGGGAAGTAGGGAGCAATATGCACTTTCCAAATGGACTAGAGGTCCCCAGGATGCAGTGTAGGCCTTCTCTGGTTCCCCCTCAGGAGCCTCTCCTCTCCCCACTGGGGGGCCCAGGCACTCATCTCACTGTGGCGGCCCTTCCCTGACCACCATTCTCTCAGGCCTCCGGCAGAGCATGTGATCTCAGGGCCTGCACCGAACAAGCAGAAGCGGCAGCAACTCTGGAGCCTGTGGGGATTTTCCAGGACAGTGCAGTCTCGCCCCATTAGACCCTCCTCTGCTCCCTTCCCCCATCCATGCTGTAAATACTTGTTATCATGGACTAAGACAGGATCAAAGGGACAGGCCTAATCAACTGAAACTCCTTGGAGATGCCATCTGTCTCCCTGGATGCCAGTGCCCTCTGCCTCGTGCACTGGGGTGGTACTAGAGAGCCATGGAAGTCATGAGATACTGTGTGGGTGCATGTGAACGTGCGTGTGTGCGTGTGTCTGCCTCATTCAGCCTTGGGGTCAAATCAGCTCCTTCTCCAAGTACCGTAGCCTGGAGAGTGGTGGCCACCAACACCTCTTCCTCTAGCTGCCCTGTCTTGATTTTGCTTTTCCTCCTCCCACTCTCCCTTTCTTTTCTTTTTTTCCTTCTCTCCTTATTTGAGGGGGGAAGAGTGCTGTACAGTCAAACAAGTTTACAGTTGTAAGTGCAATGACCCGAGTCCTCCACATGACCTTGTGAATTGTGTGCCGTCCTCCCGTGCTCTGTGAGAACTCGTGGTACTTCAGTGTCCCTCCCCCTCCTGTATTGTGACAAGGTAATTCTGTGGCATCAGAATAAAAAGACTTGATATAAATAACCTACTGACTGTCTCTGGGATGGTTTCTAAGTAGGCAGGCTTAGACAAAGGAGTAACTCCCCAAATTTGTGACCATTCTGTCCACAGTTAAAGGGAAAAGACTAAAGGGGCAAGCCGGGCATGGTGGTGCACACCTGTAATCCCAGCACTCGGGAGGCTGAGGCAGGAGGATTGCTGCTAGTTCGAGGTCAGCCTGGGCTACAAAGTGAGTTGAAGGCCAGCCTGAACTGCATAGTGACACCCTGTCACAAAAAGACAAAAAATTAAAAAAAAAATTTTAAAACAAAGGGGCAAAGTTTGAGAAGTGCTAGCATGACAGGCTGAGTCTACACCTGGCCGAAGACAATGAACCCTCCACAAAAGTGCCCAAGCGTAGGTCCCAAGTGTGGATCTGGAGCTAGCAGTTCACTGTACCAGCTGTGGGAAACTCAGCGGGCATCCAGGCAGCACCTACACCTTTCTGGTGTCGTTCTATCCAGTGTGTCAGGTCCTGAGAATGAGGTACCCTCGGATGAACAAGAAAAATAAGAAAGACAAGAAAAACAAGAGAAGCAAAAGTCTGGGATCAGGGGGCGTACAGCCTCAGCCGATTACCAATCTCAGTCGCCTTTTATTGAGCAAGAACCAAGGGCATAGCTAGTACAAATGGGCGGACACCAAACGTTTTAGCAAGGATAGTTAAAGGATTATCCTTCTCCACATGTAATCCAAGACATGCCTGTAATCCCGGCACTCAAGAGGCTGAGACAGGAGGATCGTAAACTCAAGGCTAATCCGGCTGTATAATGAAGCCTTATCTCAAGAAACTAACAAATAATAAACAAATTACTGTGTCCTCAATGCATTCTAATCAAAGAATGTCCTCCACATTCTGGGCCTGCATCGCAGGAGAAAGGTGAGCAGGTGCTGCCCCCCCCTCCGCCCCCGCCGTGCTGCCAACAAGCCTTAACCCGGCAGCTCCACCCCAGAGCTCTTGATGAGTGCCATACTCCAGTACTTCCCGGATGGACAGGACTAATCCAGTCACTGGAGAATCTGAAAACAAAATTTTAAAAACATCGATTTTGCCTCACTTGAGCTCTTAAAGGCAGGGCAGGGTGAAAGAAGCCAGGACTCTGAGGTGCGCAAGACCAGCCAGGCTCACGTTATACAGCGGGGACATCACTACTGGTGTGGCTACTGCCCAGCCTGCCGGCCCCACTGCCACCTCAAGACAACCCGGTTCTGCGCCCGTGCGGAGGGGTCTGCCTACCCAGAGCCTTCGCACACGAGGCTCTCCGGGCCGGGGCGGGGCGGAGCCTGACCCCAACAGGCGCTCTGCGGAGCGTTCAAGTTTGAGCGGCGGCCGGGGAGGGAGGCGGAGGCCCAGCCTCCTCTTGAGTAGGGCGGGTGAAGGCTGCGGGGACTGATAGCTCTTGGGACACGTCTGGCGAGCGATAAGCCCAGGAAGCGCCCGGCCAGCGCAGCGCCCGCCCCTCTGCGCGGGGCGGCCCAGGCTCTCTCCGCTCGCTCCATCAGGACCTGCGCCCTTCGCCCGGGCTGCCTAGGAGTCCCTCCGAGAGGCCTGGCGCCGTCTGGGGAAGGCCGGCAGGGAGGACCCAAGGCTGCAGAGCCGCGGAGCGCTCAGAGGACGCAGGCAGAGCCTCCGGCCCTACCCAGAAACCTCCACGCACTGGCGCTTAGCGCCCACTCCAGCCGCACCCGCCGGGCCGGGTCGGGACTCAGGCTCCGCCCGCGAGAACCCGCTGCGTCTCAGACTCCGCCCCTGCTGGGCCGCCGCCCCCGCTTCGCTCCCACTGTCCTCGGAGGGCCCGCTCCGCGCGCCCCAGAGACAGGCTCAGGGCCTGGCCGCTCGCCAGCCCACCCGCAAGGCCCGGTCCCGCCCCCGAGGTGCCCGCCCCAGCCCCCTCGCCCC